GGATTATTATTTAGCACATCTAATTGTCCTTGTGTAACACTTTTGCTAATGGTTTTCTCTTAATTATCACAATCGCTCCATTATGTGTTATGTATTACTATGCATTTACCTGTTGATTACATATTCAGTGAAATAAGTCTATAATCATCGAACAATTCAGCCTCAGTAAATGAGATCATTGCTGCAGCAGGTGAAAGAAGAAATATGGGAAAAAATATGAATCTGCACATATTGGATTGTTTTACATGTAAACTTACACATGACTGTAACAGATTTTCTATATCCACATGGCCAACAGAGTTAAAAAAAATATATAAATATATGTTTGTAGAACACATAATAACACAGAAAACAACTTGGACATCTAAACCCAGATGATATTTTGCTTGTGGACAAACAGAGAAACAAACAGGAACTTAAATCCTGTCTTCATTTTAGCTCTTCCCATTACAAAATGTGAGTCAAGAATATAGTGTGTTTATTGTCTAGGTTTAACTTAAAAACACTACAATGTATTATTTTGTATAAAAGAATTTGGGTTCCTATGATAAAAATGAGAAGTAAAAGAAAGGAACGCACACTTGATTGGAGCTTGTGTCGTTACAATTTCCTGATTGACGCAGAATCCAACAACCAGTCCAAAAAAATGTGTCGCTGTACTCATTCAACACCGCGTCATGTTGTATTTATTTTCACTGTCTCTTTCAAATCAAATCAATTTACGGAATTTGGTAAATTGTTTCTCATAGGTCTCTGTCTGTCTGTCTGCTTGTCTGTCTGTCTGCTTGTCTGTCTGTCTGCTTGTCTGCCTGTCTGTCTGTCTGCCTGTCTGTCTGCTTGTCTGTCTGTCTGTCTGCTTGTCTGCCTGTCTGTCTGTCTGCCTGTCTGTCTGCTTGTCTGTCTGTCTGTCTGTCTGCTTGTCTGCTTGTCTGTCTGCTTGTCTGCCTGTCTGTCTGCTTGTCTGCCTGTCTGTCTGTCTACAGGTCCTCATGTACAAATCTCTTCAGACTGCATTAGGAGGTCAGAAATGATCCTGTACTCTGTGACAAAAAGAATATTACAGTTTCATTAGTTCTGTAAGAGGAAGTGGAGACCTATACTGACCTTGTGTAGTTGTACAATTCTCTCTCACACTGTCCTTCCTTCCCTCCTTTCCTTCTCTTCTTGCCTCATCTGCATTCTTTGTCTTTGTCGCACTCTTTACTTTTTCTCTTTGCTTATTTTTACCCACCTTTCATTGTCATTTCTCATTGTTGCGGTTAGAAAAGGGAGGAAGCCTGAGCCAATTTCCAGTAGTGAGAGTTTTTCTAATGTGCTCCCTTCACCGTACTCTGATTTTGCAAATAATTCAACAATTTTATGCATTTTAACTTTTAATAATGAGGGCTGTATGAAGGTCATTTGATACAGAGAGATTTCTGTTCTCTCTAAAATTATTTAACAAAGTTAATAGTTGCTGTAATTAAGTTTTATGGCTCCATTTATTGTTGAAATGGTTCCACTGAACAAGGAATCCTCATACGGTAATTATAGATTGAAAGAAATTAGAACAAATGTCTGTTATCTGATGTTGCCAATACGTTGAATAAAAGACCACGATCTGAAACAAAGAATAATATTTAAGTTTGAGTTGTTAATGTTCGTGCGTGTGAATGTGTATGTGTGCCAGTGTGCTTGAGTTAGTGCGAACAGCAGATCGGATCAATGAATTAAGCTGCTCATTATGATGGCCTGCTCTTGCTGGTCATTAAGAAAAACGCATGTAGAATTTGCCACCCTGGCCCCTATGAAGTGTGGGTAATTACCACTAATGTATCATTGCCTATTCAAGACCGTAACGTTTCGTTTCTGAGGGCTGACAGTGAAACACCTCTGACCTAAATGTTTTATTCATTCATAAGACTCCTATTATTCATTTAAGCTCATATTTCACATGATTAACTGTTTTTCCATATTAATGCCCTCGACACTTTTATCACTGTGTTTCATACGGTGTAATATTATATTTGTGTTGTTCAAATGAAATATCATCATATCCTCCTAAATCTAGGGTTGGTGTAAGGGACGCACAGGGTCAGCCTGTTAGAAAAACAAATCCAACTTACAAACTTACTCATTTTACAGGCTGTTGCACAGACTACTAAGTTACTTAACTTTATCCTTGTCCAAAGTCATCAATGTTTTCAACATTATTAATTTAGTATTGCATGCTTGGAAAGTATTACGCAAGAAACCAACATAGAGTTTAGAAACTCATTTTAAATTGCCTGACTCTCTGACTCTTTAAGTGCATTGTATTATATTTGAACTCGTTCTAATATAAACTGCTGTGTTGATGTTAATAGTCTACAAAAGGAAATCTGCAGTTGTTATATTAACAGGTTTTTAAATATTTAGTTACCATCAAATCATTTGGTAGAAAACTGGATTTTTTTTTTATATTTTCTGATTAGTTCACGTTATTTTAAAACCTCAACATTATTTGAAAAAAAAAATAAACAGTTACGTACAGAGTATACATATACATGCTTCTATTGCAATCCAACAGTGTGACTTTTGAGTGACACACTGAAACAACCCTCTGTACTTGTCATATTTTCCTTTATTTACTGTAATCACTCTAATATGTTTGACACAGTTTGATGACATTAATTCAAATTAAAACCTGGAAAAAATCTGATCAGTGTTACTGATCGCTTTTATCTCAAAGGAAAGAGAAGCTTTAGTGAGCTGGCTTTTTTTCTTCTGAGCTAAATTTTTTGTATAATCAATTAATAATGAATCAATAATATCGTTACCTTTAAGTTGGATATTTTTTGTGAAAAAATAAATAAATCAAAAGGTTGTTCAGACTAAGTCCGGGTGATGATGGTACAAATAACTTCCAAGTGCAGCTCTTTCTCCTAAGAAAATTCAATTCAACTATTTTGTAGAAACACATTGCTACAGATTGAATTTCATTTCCACATATCAGGCAAAATGTTAATATTGACACACCTCAGAAACACACAACCAGATATAGGATGAGATCTTACACAGTAATGGAGCCTGCACATCAACATGCCAACAAAAATAAGAGCATCTAAGACATATCTCTATTTCCCAACTTGTCCCGCAGACTGAAAATCATTTAACATATGCTGTTAAATGCTTTGACACACCCAGCACAGTGTCTACCCTGATAAAAAAAAGCTTATAAATAAGCTGCACATATACCTCCTATTAGCCTGTGCATAAACACATGTGCACATTAGCAGACCTCATGTGATATTATGATTCGTACGTCTAACGACGGTGTAGTGAGGACAGAGGATCATGGAGGGTAATAATGGCTGCATTATTACTCCTCTTATTGTGTCTTAATTAGTGGCATTTAATTATGCACTAATGCAGTGAGGGCTATTAAAGACATTGAGGCCTGCTGATCAGGGAATTAAAGCAACACACGCACACACCTACAGGCAGAGTGCACACTTTTCACATAGACACTGGCATGCCATTGAAATTTCAGTTCCCTTTAACTAGAGATCAGAGACACCCTGCAGAGAAAGTGTGGGTGAAAATGTGTGTGCAGTAGATATGAGAAAGTGACAGATGAGAGGAGATAGCCTTTGGAGATCAAGGTGCAATATAGGGAAAGACTACAGAAATATAGAACAGGTTGAAATAAGAAGATGATTTGGGAAAAGATATGAGTAATGAGTATTATATGTATTCTGCCTGTTAGCAATGACATCAAAATAGGTTTTAATTCTTCACTCCCACACCTCTCCTGCGCTGGTGCATCTCAATTATTTGTTCAGAGGCTGGTTTCACAATAGTGTCGGCTTTGGGAGCCTTTGGGATGCAAAACAGGGGACAGGAGGTTGAATATAAGTCATTTTCAGTGGGCTGAACCTGGTGTTTTGTGCTGCTGGAGAGGAGAAGCTTCAAAGCTACGTTTAAACAGAGCAAAAAAAAGAGCAAAACTTGATCCGATCACCCTGCCTGCTTTTGAAGATGTGATGCTGCAGCCCAGTCATATCAATCTTATGAAGATCATACGCGTATATCAGCACATATTCCCATGTGATTCATGTCATGATGCTCTCACTGTCCTGATTTAGTGCACATAATGATGAAGTATGGAAGATGATAGCTTGACTTAAATCTAAACATTTCTCTGAGCAAAGGTTTTGCTCAGGCAAAGTTTGTTTTTCACATATTTTCTTTCAATATTTTTTTTCCAAATGTATCTCTTGAATTTAGGGGACTCACATCATGTTGAAATAATGAACATTTTCACCAACCTCCTGCTAAATTGTTCCCCAACAATTGTTCCCCTGAGATCAATCAGAGTTAAGACGTTTGACTTTGTTTGGGTGAGTGGGGTCATAATGTTGAAAGGTACTTTCATGTCATGTTTTTGACTCAGTAAAAATGGCCAAATTACTGCATGGTCCCTGGTTCCCCATACTGTTACAAATATTTTAAATTTAAAAACATAGGGGTCTAAATAGGGATCTGTTGTATTTGAAAACTGCTGGTATAAAATAAAGGACATAAACTTAGGCATCCATAATGTGTTTCAGAGAGCAACTGGTGGCAAGTATGTGCAGTTATTATTTCTTGTTGTAGACGGTGATATGATGACTAATTAATAACAGGAAGCAATTATTTCACACCCTAAAATCAACGAGATGGATTCGTAAATTAATACATTTGAAAAAGTGTGATTTTTACATCGCAGTAAATTAATCTCACCGTAATCTTATATAAAAGAATATATAAGTTTTATGGAATGTGTCTCTTTTTTCCCTTCAATTGTGGTCCAAACAGTGACAGCGAGGACATTTAACGAGTATATAAATAACTACAACAACAAAGAAGATTCAGTTTTAAGTTCTTTATGAATATTCTCAGATAAATAGTGTTATAATACAAGCATAACATTTTCAATCCACTGCAAAGTAACACACAAAAAAGTGCAACAGGCCTGATTAAAAAACACGAAGGCCTATTTGTCTTTACTTAATAGGCCTGCCATAGATTAAGAATAAATTGAATAAGAGCAAAAAATATATAAACAGAGTTCGTGGTTTGCATTTGGGAATAATTTTAGACTGTTGTCTCCTAAATCAAAGCTTTTCTTTGGGTTCAGCGTATCTACTTGTCTGATTGTATTTATCAGTGCCACATTACAGTATGTGGTAAATGCCCTCACAAATTGTGCAAATAAATTATGATTTCAATCAACATGGGTCTAATGAAAAATTCATTACACAGCACAATGTTAACCAGTTTTTACAACTCTTCTACAGCGGCACCTAACTTAAACCATGATGCTGCTGATATGCCTTTTCTGTCTTACTTTATGCAATAACAATGTCCTTCTTGTTTGCGTTACTTTTCAAAAATTACCCGCAATTTACCCAGTTAGGACAGCAGGAGAGCCGGGTGTAGAGGGTTGCCTTTCCCTTCCAGCAGATCGCTCTTCTCCATCACTGAGACCGATGAGCAGAGCTGGGACGGGCCGGACTGCAGCCCCGTCAAACTGGGCACGGGACCCAGGGATGGTGTGGGTTTTATTGGCACAGGAACGGCGGGCAGGGTTTGCCCGTTGGCATTGTGGTACAGGCCCTTTGCTGACACGCCGAAGGGCGCGTACTCGGATGATGCAGGTACGTGCACGCCACTCATGGACTCCGACAACATCCCGACGTGGGGCCACATGGAGTTGACAACGCTGCTGAGCTGCGGGGGCACCGGGTAACCCAGGTGGTGCATGACCGAGGTGAGTGGGAGCCCGCTGGCCATCATACCCTTGTAGTCCCGTCCTATAATGTTCTCGATGGCGAATGGGTGTTTAAAGCCGCCGGACTGTGCGCATGTAATGCCCCCGTAACCCTGAAAGGGAGGGAGCCGACCCACGGCGCTTGCCGGCCCGGCTGAGAGGTCATGGTGGCCGGGTGCTGTGCCCAGCTTGCTGCCCGGGTGGTGGTGGTGATGGTGAAAGTAATGCATCATCGGGGAGCTCTTGCAGGCCATATGCTCAGCCCGCAGCACCTTGAAGCGCTTCCGTCTCCGCAGGAAGCTGCCGTTCTCAAACATGTCCCCGCAGTCCGGGTGCAGAGCCCAAAAGCTGCCTTTCCCGGGCTGATCAGGCCGCCGAGGGATCTTGATGAAGCAGTCGTTAAAAGAGAGGTTGTGTCGCAGGGAATTCTGCCATCGTTGGGTATTCTCTCGATAGTACGGAAAGCGGTCCATGATGAACTTGTAAATGTCACTTAGAGGCAGCATCTTTTCGGATGAGTTCTGGATAGCCATGGCTGTCAGTGATATGTAGGAATATGGGGGCTTCTGGTCGCTGTAAGAGTTCTTCCCCGGACGAGGCATGACTGGTTACTGTTTTATAGAAGTTTGAATTATTAAATGAAACCACCTTTAAAGTTATATTTTGAAGAATATATTTCAAGGAGCTATCTTGACAGATTTCATATCAGTCTCCATCTGACGGATCTGTTCCAAAGTTCTGAGCCATCAGATTAGAAGCTGGTGAATTTTCTTTCTGTAATACAGTGTTGGCTATAAAGGCCCGCAGACGTCAGGTTAGATCCGTGAGAAGCTCCTGCATCCCAAGAAGATTTCTTCTGGCTTTTCAGTGTCAAAATATGCACTTGGCGTTGTGCGTAAAAGTCAGTCTCTGTGCGCAAAAGTTAAGAGGTCCTCTTAGTTTCCGCGGCGGTTGAACGATGTGAGGGCCACTTGGCTCCGCTGTCTGTGTGTGGCGTGTGCTCCTCTCCTCTTGTGCGATGCTCCCACTCACCGAGTGCCGCTTTTGTAAGACCCCCGCAGGTCGTTGGCTCTGTTATCTGTTATTCAGACACTTAGGGGACACGTCAGGGGAGAGCAGAGGGCTGTGTGTGCGCGCGCGCGCGTGTGTGTGGACTGGAGAGAGAGCGAGAGAGAGAGAGAGAGAGAGAGAGAGAGAGAGAGACACGGGGGCAAAGAGATGAATAAAAATGAGGGGTGGGTGGTGCGTTCAAGACACTTCTTATCTCCTGTTTGCCAATCAAAGCTTCCTGCGTAATGTACACAGGGACTAGAAAATAACCAGAGTGACTGATTTGAATCACTGACCTGTCTTTAAAGGGGCCATGCTTCTCAATGTCTCCATCCCCAGTTCTCTGACTGCTGGTGACCCGACCTATGACCTCTCTGGTAAAAAAACAGCAGTCAGTCAGTTTGTAAGTTGTGCATATGCTGTAATGGTATGGTGTTGGAGGGCTCCATTGCTTTGCATATAACGATTTCTATGTCATAAACATTTCAGAAAGCATACATTAATTAATACAAATCAAAATGTCTGTGCTGAGATAACATGATTGAAATAAGACAGCGAATGTTGATTTTAATCGCCCACTAGCACACGTTTTCACTTGAGGAAGTAAATAGTAAAGAATGGAATGTATAAATACAACCTCTTTGCAAAATTTGCTCGATTGCACTTTCAGACTTTGCAAACAATAAATCATGTCTTCCTTTGCGCACAATCATCAGTGCGCTACTCTTCTGCTCTCAACTACACACATGTGCAGACACACTAACACGCGCAGACAGCATGAGGAGAGAGAGAGAGAGGGGAGGCTGTTGTTGATTAATTGCTGAGAGGGGAGTCCAGCGGCTGTCTGTCTGTTCAAACACTCTCCGGTGAATCCTACAAGGATGTAAACAAACTTCATCCCCTGCTCTGAATTCTGCTCAGCGGAGAACAACAAAAGCTGCTTCCCTTCCCGTGTAATTTTTAGCCAGGTGTCATGACTGGGTCCTTGACGGCTCCTGTCTTCCCCGGTGCCCCGGTGGGGCCCCGAATACATTACAATAATTAAGCCTATCGTGATTTAGCCTCCTAGGAGAGAAGTCCAACAATGTAATTAAGGGCAAGCTCGCTGTATTAGGTATGAATATTCAAAACTGTGTCAATTAATTAGCCGGTGTATCTCTCCCGTTATGTCTCAGTCCTTCAAGCCCACTCAAAAGGTCAACTGTGTCGACGGAGAGCATATTTTAAAGACATCATGTAATTGCAAGGACAATCGCCTTCTTAGCGTCACTTCGCCTGACAAAGAGGGAACATTTATATATCCATCTCTACATAAAGAAAGTTGTCGTTGTGCTTGTGTTTTTGTTTTTTTTTGCTTTTGTTTTTGTTTTGTTTGCAAAATTGTTTTTCTGGCTCCTGAAAAATGAGTTTTAAAACTATAAGGCCCTCAGAGGCCAACGCGGGTAAAAGCATCCTCTTTAAACGCCCGGGAAAGATCAATATTAAATCTGTTTTCACAAAGGGGGCCGTTAAATAGACACCGTGGCTGATCTGCATAACAAAATTAATTAGGTAGTCTACAGCAGTCTTCGCCTGCACCCAACTCCTGGACAAATATCTAGTTGTAAAGCACACCTTCTGGGCATATGGAACATATGCTGGAATTATCCTTAATTGACTAATTACATAAATTACTCATTAAGTTTACAGCACATCAATTATAAAAGATGTATCAATTAATTTTGCATAAATTACAAGCGGCACGCTGCACGAAGAGGGCGGCGGGGGGAATGAGGGTCGGCAGGAGGGGGTCCACTCAAAGGTGGAGCCTTTATGTGTGTGCGTGCGTGTGAGTGACGGTCGTCTGTTTGTTTCCTGTCTCTAATAATTATTTGTTCAGCTTAAGGGCAAAGATATTCTTTCTCTGTCTCCCATTTGCAAAAGGAAAGTGTTGGGGTAATGGCAATTATACTAATAATAATAATCTTAAAGACCTCTCTCCAAGTCATAAGGGGCTCATCGTCGCGAAGAGAGCCATTAAAATCAATTAGCGAGGCCTATTGTTTTCAATGGAAAATTAAACCAGTTTAGGACTATGGTGCAAACGCTGTAAGCCTCACATATGTAATGGGAAATTATTTAGAGGCAAAATACGACAGATCTTTCCGTTTCCCCATAAAAGAGCGAGCAAGGAGGAACATTAATGGATCAAAGCTGTAGTATGTCTGCCTGTTGCCTTCTAGAGTTATTTCAGTCAGCTAAGGTATTACTATCATTATTCATCACGGTGGCAAACTTTGTATTTAAAGCTTTAAGTCTCAAACTCTCTCACCTCAAACGTCCAGAACAACAATAAGAAAACTGTCACCAGAATAATTCTTATGAGCTTTGTATTTGTTTCTTTCTTTACCTCAAACAACAACTATACTTTCACATTGCATACCAGCGTCTGAATTAATAAATATTGAACATCTCAAAATAATCTATGCATGTCTGGTCATAACATATTGTTATGGTAATGTGAAAGCGGTGGAAAAAATATCAGGAAAGTCTAACAATTAAATCCAAATCAGTAATCAGCAACTGCAGTTTGTGTATTGTTATTTTGAACTGCACTGAATTGTAAAGTGTTCCTTTAATTTTGTCAAAATACTGAGGGTACAAATACCTTTTCAGGAAATTTCATACACAGATGTGAATAGAATCATATTAATTATTATAGCACTTTTGCATTCTTAATTTTGACTTTGCATTGATAGCAGTAGCATTTCCTAACTGTGAGCTGGACACTTTCAACATCTATAGTTGAAAATGACAACAAATAATAAACCTGGAAATCAAATGTGCATTATTTAAAAAACACATACAATTACACACATCTTGTTATTTTCTTTATTAATTTGAAAGTTTTTGTAGTCATTTAGGCACTGAAAAAACAACACACTAACGCCACTGCAGACAGATTTTACAGGCGAGACCTGAGCATCAACGGTATGCTTTATGAACCTGTGGGCTGGACAGGGATTATTACTTCAGTCCTGCTTGCTCCTCTGCTCTCTTTCTCTCTGTCTGTGTTTCCCAACATTACCGTAATGCTTCCCATTACACCCACACACACACACACACATCACCAACAAGCAAAATACTGGATCCAACTTATCAGCATACGTTGTTTTAAAAAAAATATAAATCAGAGCAATTCTAGCTTTCACACCATAAGTCACACATCCTTCCTTGAGGATGGCTACGATCTGTAAAGCTGTCAATTTGATTTGTTGTGAGTCATCTTAAAGGGACATGAAGGGTCAGAGGCTGTAGTTTTCCCTTCCATACCTTTTCTGGCCCACTAACTGGTGTATATGTCTTTCATTACCTGTGTTCTCACTGAATACAGCCCTCACTAATTAGAAGGATTTGTAGCATATACTTACTACATGCTGATAAACCAACTACTTAACTAAGTCCCTCTTATCTTATGTTGGCCACAATAGCAAACCTGGAGCAGATTTCCTTGTAAAGTTTTAATAAACATGTGTCCATATGGCTCCTCTGCTTTCACAGACTGTTATTCTTACTGTGGGAAAGGGTTATCCACTATAGCCCTGATACAACACAGTGACGTCTGTTCCCTCCCATCAGCTGTCAGTTGCTGTTAGCTCCTTTATTCACAGCAACCACTCATCAAGATGAGAATCCATCAAGAAATAAAGAAGCTCACTTCACTTCTTAAAAAGAAAACATTTTTTAGTTATTATATATATAGATATTTATAGATATATATTTCTGGAAATCTGAATCAGAAATGCAATAACGCAGCCTCCATTACTGTAAGACCACAGTATCACTGCTTTCACCACAAATGGGAAATCCCAACATCTTTTGTCTACTGCAGTAATACGAGTGAACTAAAAAGCCATTGACAGGAACAGTGAAAGTGCACACACACACACACACACACACACACACACACACACACACACACAGTTCTACAAATGCATGAGTTTTAGGCCTTTTATAAAAAAATGTATCTTTATCTTTACTGACTTTGTGATTAACATCCTACTTCTGTTATTTTTTTCAGGGCTCGTGTGTATACTTGGAGTCAGTCTAAAACTTGCATAGTTCCCTTTTGGTAGTCAAGGCCGACAAATGACAAGATAAGGCTGTATTACCAACATGGCAAGGCAAGCTACCGTCCAGGTGGCCCGAGAGCTCCAGGTTCATGTCGGTAGGTTTTGGAAATTTGATACTGTAACCAGTGGTGGCTGGTGGAAAATGTTCTATGTATAGGGATGTGAAACATCCAATCAATTTCAGCAAACATCCCAGAATGATTTAATGCAAAAAAAAATGAAGGTATCAAACACGCATTACTACTTTGCAGTTAAATATTTAACATTTATTCCAACATGAAAAAAGCAGTAAATAACACTTAAACAAACACATCAGGACATCTCATTTTTGTCCCCCTCACAAGCAATTCAATATAATATAATAATATATATATATATGTATATATCATATAATAATATTCTGTATAATATAATAATATATATATCATATAATAATATTCACTATAATATAAAACACACAGATATATATATATATATAATTATTTATTTATAAATTTCTCAGACAGGTGCTTCTTATCCTTTAGACCGCTGTGCTCGTTGAAAATAACATGGAGTCTGGCGTAATAGTCTGCTACAAAATTCACCAGGCTTTTGCTTGCATGATGTTATTTGTGTCGTGTTGATTCTCGGCGGGAAAGCAATTGTCAAAGCTGTAACCAGTACGGTAATCATGTCTCTATATGCAGCGTTCTCAGCGTGATCCCAGTTGGTTTGTACCTGTCTGGCATTTCCTTGACAGGCTGCTCGAACCTTGGCATAGTTGGCTGG